GACTCCGGTATCCCCAGCATTCATGCTTTGCTTGCTCTTTGCAAAAGATCTCAATCACTTGAAGCACTTTAGTAAAGAAGTATGAAGACAAATATTTTTGTTCCTGTTCATTAGTATGTATTCCATGTAGTATGTACAGTATTATGTATACTATATTTAAAACCAAACTATGTTCAAGATGTTAATAATATCAACCATACATAGATGATACAGCTAATAGTTAAGGTTAATGGCTATAAAAATGCCACATGACCGCTCTGCATGTGATAATCATGGCCCAAGGGTAAAACACAGGGAGTAAGTATGAAGATGGAATGTGTTTTCATGAGGGACACTTCGCTGAATGCACTAAGATCATAAAATTGAGAAAGCCACCCTCCAGTTACCTATAATGTCATCCTTACTGTTGACACTGTGTGTCAGCTTTTGTTGTTAGAAAACAATACCTCAGCACTGTAGTTTGTCAAATACAGAAATCAAGAATTTGGTGATTTTGTAGTTGTTGTTGTTTTGATTTTGTTTTTTGTTTTTTGGGTTTTTTTTGAGACAGGGTTTCTCTGTATAGCCCTGGCTGTCCTAGAACCAGCTCTGTAGACCAGGTGGGCCTCGAACTCAAAGATCCTCCTGCCTGAGTCTCCAGAGTGCTGGGATAAAAGATGTGCATCACTACTGCCACCCGGCTTGAGTTTTGTGACATTTTGATTTTTTATGTGATTTTTTTAAGGCTTAAACAAATCCCATAATATCCTCTTTGTTTTTTTTTTTAATTAAACAAATGTATACGTTGCATTCCATAGAGAAATGGCAATTCTGTTAGCCTTCATGGGGTTTGGTATGGTAGTGGTGCTGTACTTAGGACTGGGTATGCCGCCTAAGAGAACACGCTGAAACAGGAGGGGATGCACAGCGCATGCCTTTTCAGGGTGTCTCTGTCTAGTTTTGTAGATGTGAAGCTTTGTGTGTGTGTGTGTGTGTGTGTGTGTGTGTGTGTGTGTGTGTGTGTACCCACATGCATGCATGCTCATGCATATGTTTTCTTTTTCTTCAAACCAAGGGCTCTAATAAAAGTCTCCCTTGTCGACAGGCATCTGCACATCTCAGCATATGCAAATTTTAGAGACCAATGTTACTAAGCATAATTAGATTAAGAAAATGTAGTTTGGACTCTGCTAATAGAAATAGAGACTAAAGGAACCTCAGTGTGCCATGGAGCATACATCAGCTTGTAGGCTCAGAGTCTAGTTTAGTACATGATTGTACCAATGGAACATGCAGATGCAGCATCGCTAACAATAGCCATGGGAATGAAACTGAGTACAGTGCTGGGACTGTGTGTGAGCCTACTTCTTTCAGTCTTTGCTCTGTCAAAAGTCAGGAAGTACATAAGAAAGAAATTTTCTTAATGTGTTAGTTAAGGGCCCTGAATTAATACATCAATTCCTATTTTTATATAGAGAATTTAGAAGCTTCATGAAATGAAGAAAATATTATGTTATACTTTAACTTTATTGCTCAGTGCATTTTAGTTTATACCAATGCCTTAAATTTCCTCCTTGAATGAACCACAGCTTTAAAAGCTGCCCTTGTTGCTGTCATTAAATTTTTTTATAAATTTTGTATTCGTTAATACTAAGCACATCCTGTGGAATTGTCAAGGTGGTTGGATACTTGACCACAGCCATTTTGGTATTTAATAAAACTGCTTGACTGCTAACCACGTCATAAAACTAACTAACTGTAGTTCTGGTCTTTTATAATGACTTAAATTTGGGGCCAGTAAACTTGAATCTGAGACAGTGTTAATAAGTTTTAGAGCTAAACAGATATCACAAGGCCAAGCCTTTCACTTTCTGTGTGAAGACACCAGCCCAAAGCAGCCTAGCTAATCAGTGGCCTGCCTATGACTTCATCCAGTTTCCAGAGCCAAGACCAGAACTTTGCCTTTTCTGATTCTCAATGGAAAATATCTTCTTTAAGTTCTTTAAAATCATGTCCAAGCTACATAAACTAGAAATTCTATATTTCATTTAAAAAATAAAAACATAAAGTTAGCATAAATCAGATTTAAAATAAATATAGCAAAAATGAAGACGATATAACTATTTGGTCTTATACTATTTGTTCAGTCACCTTTGTAACCCGAAGAGAAATCTCCATGACTGACTCATGGCTCAAGTCATTTTTCTTTTAAGTTATGAGGAAGATCTTAACCGATTTTCGTTCACTAAGATTAGCATAAGCTAGGCGTGGTGACACACACCTTTGATCCCAGCACTCCAGAGGCAGAGGCAGGCGGGCCTCTGGGAATTGGAAGCCAAGCTAGTCTACAAAGCAAGTTCTAGAGAGAACATGACTCAAAAAAAAAAGAAAGAAAGAAAGAAAGAAAAGAAAAAGAAAGAACAACAAAAAGATTGCCATAGTATGTCTTTATTAATTTGTTTGCAACATTTAAAATAGCTATTGTGATATTTGAGTAATTGAAATTCTCAAGAATTTTAGGGCAAGGATTAAGGGGCCTGCAGTGTGTCTTTTACTGACGAGCAATATCATGGGAGTAACTGGAGAATTCATGAAAACTGCAGAATCTGGCTAAGGCTGTGGCTCAGTGGGAGAACTTTTGCCCAATTCTGTAAACTTAGCTCCGTCTTCCCTTAGACCCGGTGAATCACCTGTGCTAACAAGGGCATGGGTCATTCCTGTGTATGTTGAGACTCTAACGTACCTATTTAGAGAGTCAGAAATGTCAAAGCCAGACACTTTTGTTCTTGTGACTTTTTCTTCCTCACAATTTGTTTCTCCTTACCCTGGGGGAGGGGGACAACAAAGGAACATAACAATACCAGTCTGGAGTTGGCACAGTAGCTCAGTGGAATAGCATGGCCTAGCACATGTCAGGCCGTTTGTTTTATCCCCAGCACCACAAAACAACAAGCAAATGCATCCTCTGCTTTAATAGATGAAGAGAACATGAAGAACCAAGTATGTAAGAGAGGAAAGGGACTCCATCTCCTCCTTCTGGGGCCAGCAGTCAGACTGGTTGGTGGCCTGTCTTTGGAATGTTGGAATGTTTTTTAGCATTTAGCACATCTGTCTCTTTGCTTTTCTAGGTCTTTCCTAGCTGTTATTCAGCCCATTTTTGGCTCCCCAAACTGAGATTGTGTAACTGTATTGAGGAGCACAGGAGTTAATTATACAGTGTTGGATTTATGGAGGGCTAGCCACAAAACATCCCTAGGGGGACTGCCTGTTCCAGTTCAGGACAGATACAGCAAGAGTTTCTTGTTGGCCACAGAGCCTGGGAACCACTGTGACTAACAGGCATTGTGGCCAAAAGGCAAAGCCAAATGCTAAGCTCATTCACCTCTACGTGCAAACATGCTCCAGTGTACGTGGTAATGAGCTCAGGTCCAGAACTGACACTCCTAGCTCGGTGCTCATCTGTGTCTCTCCTCCAGAGCAGTTGTTAGGCTGTCTGACCTCATCACCGAAGACAGGAAAGAGAGCACATACCTCCTAGGTCCACTCTAAGCTAAATGAGAAAAAATACATGCAAAAAAGCACTTAGTACAGTCTCTGAAAACAGGAAGAGTTCAGGGCTTTGACTTATGTATGCATGTATTTATTTGTTCTTAGTTTTCTTTTGCACAGTGAAGTGGTTTTGGGTTTTTCCTATCTTAGGGCATAAGTTAGAACTGTACCTCAACTGATGAAAACGACTGATATAGGATTATTGGCTTCCTCTGGAATAAGGATTTCCAGGTGGTGGTGGTGGTGGTGGTGGTGGTGGTGAGGGATAGAATCCTCCAAGTGGCAGGTCCTGACATGAAGGTGCTGAAGTGTGTTATTACACAGGAGCAAAAGCTAGCTGATTCTGAAGCAATACATGAATGTGTTCGAATGACACCAGTTGAATTAGCATTTAGGTTGGTTGAATCGCAACCACTGGAAGTGATCTCTAGTCACTTTCATCTTCTTCTTGTATAGTCTGACAAGTAGGAAGAGAAAAGGGAGAGGCCATGTTATAAAAACTAGCTTGATAGACTTAGAAATCTGCTCAATGTTTGACTCCCTTTTTTGGCATAAAAATTTACATCTTCCCAGCACTCGGGAGGCAGAGCCAGGCGGATCTCTGTGAGTTCGAGGCCAGCCTGGACTACCAAGTGAGTCCCAGGAAAGGCGCAAAGCTACACAGAGAAACCCTGTCTCGAAAAACCAAAAAAAAAAAAAAAAAAAAAAAATTTACATCTTGACTAAGTACAGGGTTGGGTGGAGGGCTGTGAGAAGTAGTGACAGATACTTTTCGATAGCTGAAGCTGGACTTTGTGAACGTTGTGAACACTGTGAACCCTGGCTTTGTGAACACGGAGCTCCCCCAGGCAGGAGGGGGCTCTGGTGGGTGTGCATGGGTGATATGGAGTAATTGTCTTAATTATTCCAAAAGAATCAGGCTTTTTAGAAAATGGAAGTTTATAGAAGTTCAGCCAAATGTCGTTTGTTAGAGTGAGGTATCAGAGCGTGACAGTTTCCGTCTCGTGGAGTGTAGGGAGGAAATGTGCCTGTGGAAAAGACAAGTTGGAAATGGTTAGGTCGAAATCAGTGCCGACTCCTTGTTCTCTGTCCTCTCTGGACCCTGCTCACCTCCATGAGTTCTGAGCAGTTTTATCTATGCTCAGGCCTGGGACAGCAGGTGATAGGCAGTCAGCAGCAATCGATCACACTAGCACCGTGAAAGAGAAGGCCACAAGGAAGGAGAAGGCCACCCGCTCCAGCTACAGCATCAGGCTTAGAGCTACAAGGTGGCTTCTAGGGTCGGTGTTGGAAGAAGTAAACAAGCCACCTCTGCGTGAGACACAGTGGAAGGGCGTCCTGCCCTGGTCGGTGATCGTCAAGGACCCCTTGGGACCTCGCTGGCTCTGCCCTCTTGGCATCCCTTCAGATGCTGGTTCGCCATCTGACCTTTCAGCCAATCTGATTTTCTTTTTCTCTGCTTTTTTTCACAGTGCTCATGTATCCCAAGTCAGCAATGTTTCAACAACTGGAGAGTAAGTTATTTGTTTTTGTATTTTGGAACTCTTTATGCCTTTTCCCATTTAATAATGAGGTGGGGGGGGGGAAGCAATTCTAATGTATAATATTGGAAGATTGTAGTGAGTCTTTCTCTGTCCCACCAACCAGCGCCCAAATCACGACACGGAGACTTATTATTCATTATGAAAGCTCGACTAATAGCTTAGGCTTGTTTCTAAATAGCTCTTATAACTTAAATTAACCCATATCTTTTAATCTGCATTCTTTTACGTGGCATGGTTACTGTTACTCTGTACTGTCCATGCTGCTTCCTCTGCATCTCCTCATGTCTCCCCCTTCTTCTTTTCAGCATCCTCTGTGCCTGGAAATTCTGCCTAGCTATTGGCAGTTCAGCTTTTTATTGAACCAGAGTGACGCATCTTCACAGTGTACAAAAAGATAATTCCACAACAGAAGAGTAGGATAGTAAACAAGCCATGATTTTTAAGCTGTTCATGTCCAGAATGTAGCCATGTCTGTGACTGTACACAACTCCCCTCCCCAAATTGACACCACCCAACTAGGTTCTTCGTTATTTTCCCTGTGTATGCTAGGTTAGCCTTAAGTTTCCTTAGACTGGCCTTTAACTCACAATCCTGCCCGGGCCCCAGTGCTAGGATTATAGATGTGTGTGTGCCACTGTGCCTGGCACTATTAACTTTTTTGTTTATTTCAATAGAAACCATGTCAGGTTCAGTGAACGTCTGCAGAGCTATTTCTGTTCCCTGGAGGCATCTTGCCGGGGAGAATGTAAATAAAGCTAAAGCATTAATTGTGACTTTTCTTCTCACTTTGTTCATTCTACGGAGATTACACGTGTTGAGTACCTGCACTGTGCCATCTGCAGTGTTAAACGTGTGGTAGTGAATGAGCCTTGGCCCTGCCTTTGAGGGTTCTTGCAGTCCTTTCATTTTTGTTCTTACAGGGATGTAGGAAAGAAAACGAAGCTGTGGTGGCACCGAGTCCTTTCTCTGCACAGCAGTGGCAGTGCTGGGGTGGTTGCGTCTGCACATTCTTTTTCCCTCGGAGGCTTCCAGGGGCATGTAGGCTAGGCACCGCGCTGCTTTTTGCCCTGCCCCTGGCTCGACTTTCTGCACTTGCTCACCTCTCTGACCTCATTGCTCTCTATTGCTGGTCACTTGACTTGCCATTGCTGAGACAGTCCCAGCTGATTTCTGCGACAGACCTTCAACTTGGCTGTGACCTGCCATGCCAGCACTTTCATGGTTTGATTCATCCCTTCCAGGAACCTCTTCCTGACCCACTGTCAGATAGCACATGGCCACACTGTTCCCTCCGTCCTGCCCTGGAGAAGGGCAGGCTGTGGGAACACAGGATCTTTTCCGCTGTGTTCATGGTTGTCTTCCCAGTGTCAGGAAGCATGTTAGGAATGTACTAAGCACTACTTAGTCTTCACTTCTCTAGATAAATGGTCTCTGGTCCAGAGGCCTTTCTGTTGCCCCTACCTCCTTTCTTTTTGTTCTGGGACGACGTGTGACGCCTATTCATAACATCTTCCTTGAGCAATGATCTAGTGGGAAAGGTGGGAAAGGTGTGATATGGAGGAAAGAAAGAGAAAGGAAGAAGCACTGATTGGACAAAATTGGAGTCTCAAAAGATGGACTTAGATTTTTCCCACTAGTTGAGGAAGCAAACAAGGGCAGAACTAACTTTCCTCGGCTCTGTCAACTTTAAAGATTCCAGAACTGAACCAAGATGAGGGTGTTCTTGCCCTTGTGTGCCTGATAATCTCTGCTCGTGTAGGTGGTAACCCTGTAAGCTGCTCTGTATGTGATGCCAACTTATTTACCTTCTCTACGCCAGTGAGTCACTCGGAGCTCGGAATACGGAAGTTGCAGTGACCACCTCACTTAGGCTATACTTGTCCCTTGTCTTAAAGTAACTTTAATAAAACACTTTAATGCAATTAATAAAACCCTGTTTATTTGGCAAATTTTAAGTTGAAGTTTTTAAAGAGTGTTTGATGAAACTAGGGCTAGCAGTTTCATAAGATTGCAAGTTTGAGACTTGCCTGGGCTATGTAGCAAGACTCTGTCTCAAAACAAAACAAGCAAAACCCATTTTATTTAAAGAAAGGTACCTTTCGTCTAGGTATTAAAACAAACAAACAAACAAACAAAACCAGAAAACTGTGAGTCTTTTAAGTGGAAAAAAAAGGAGCTTTGAGGAATATAAGTTAAGAGTTTTCCACACCAGTGTATCCAGAATTGAACTGAATGGCAGTTGATTACTTAGATACACTGAGAGATTCTGCCACTATGAAACTGGCACAGAGAGATTAGGACGGGGCAGTGTCAATGGGCAAAACGATGGCATTTGTATCCCACACTGCACTGTTTTGGCCCTTCGTGCTTAACCTTTTTTTCCCTCAGGTTTAACAAAATAAATCTAGCCTTCCCATTTGAATAGCATGTTTTGGGATGTGTTTGTGTGCACCCAGTTTTAATTTTATAAATCACCATTTGATTAGAAATGTGGAAGTATTATGCTATGCCATTGAGTTGTAATTGTTCTGGTGACCAGGGGTTCCCCACCCCCAAACATTGTTAATCCCTGTATAACTTTATCTTCGTGAGATTCTAAATATATAGTAGATATTCTAAAATATTTGTGCCAGTTTACTTTGTAAATCAGACTCTCATCTTCTGCAGAACTGATATGAAGTCTGGAGGAACCGTGCTTTGTAAAGATACACAACTGTAGCCGGGGCAGTGGTAGTGCACGCCTTTAATCCCAGCACTTGGGAGGCAGAGCCAGGCGGATCTCTGTGAGTTCGAGGCCAGCCTGGTCTCCAAAGCGAGTTCCAGGAAAGGCGCAAAGCTACACAGAGAAACCCTGTCTCGAAAAACAAAAAAAAAAAAGATACACAACTGTGACTCTCCAGTGAAAACTTCTCATTCTACCTTACTCTAATTGGCCCTTATTTCCTGACTGCCTCACAATTATTGCTTGATCTGCTTTGAGCATTTCAGTCATTACAGACTCACAAAATGAGACAAAAAAAATGCTGTAATTTAACTCAATTTTTTTAATGCAATATGCAAGTATTTTAGATGAACATACCCTTCTGTCTTTGCTTATGAAGTACTAAAGGCCTTCAGTGGGAAATAGAGATACTTCAGAAATATGGGCATATTAAAGGAAATCATTGGTAACCGTGATTGCTTCATTAGCTTGGTGGTTTATTTTTAACTAGGCTCTTAGAAAGAACCATCAGGTCAGCAGTAGAAGAACATCTTTTTGATGTCAACAGCTCTGGAGATCAAAGTGCAGAAGACTCAGAACCTGGACCGTCGACAGCATCTTCCACACCCACCAGGCACCGAGGGCATCAATTTAAGAAGCAGGATGATGTTTGGCATGGTCGAGACAAGTAAGCTGTCATAGACTCTTACCCTTGGGTTTTCTCTTTCTGTCTTTAAGTCAGTCGCTATGTTACAGGCACACCTGCTCCTCTCATTTCAGCATCTAGATTAAAACTTTACAGTGTTCACTATGGCCATTCTAAATTTAGCCTGCATCCCATGTGACTTAGTATCTCTGTTTCATCTAGATAGCTAGTGTTTTGTTAGAAGCCATGTCTTAATTCATATATTTCATAACTTCCTGTTGAATGTCTTTAGAGAAATCCTGTCCCAAGGCTTTTTCTTCTGTGTAAGTCAACATGAAATTGATTAAGTCAACATGAAGTTAGCTTCTTAGTCAACAGAGTTCCCTTTATTAAATACTAGAGCATCCCTGTAATAACTCTAACACTTGGTTATGTTTTATTATTTTTTTTAAAGTTGAACATTTTAATCAAAAGAAGAAAAGCTTAAGTTCTGTGTTATAATATTACTTAACTTTTAAAACTTTAAAATTTGCAGCATAAATTTCAGGAATGGTATTACAAAGAGTTTATTCTCCATTAGTGGCTGTAGTAAATTAAGAGTGCAAATCACCATGCATATTAATAATCATGAGGAAGGTTCCCAAGGAAAAGTATTGTATATTGTTAACTGATTATATTGATGTTTCCCTGGAATGTTCCAAGTTTGTTTCCATTTACTATGTGGTTAATATTTTGACCTGATTATTAAGTGTTGACGACTAAATTTGATCCTACTTCCACACATTCCCCACAACCCCTGCCCCAGGACTCATAATCTATAGCAAAATCTTTATGAAAAACTCTCTTGTTACTGAAAGAAAATCACAGAAGATAAGCCGTGTAAGTAAACCCCTGCTGTCTACCATTGAAGTGTACAAGAGCTATGTTGGCAGATGAATTCACACAGGCAGCAGCATCCATGATCTAACCACTTCACAAAGAAAGGGCTCATTAGTTTAAGAGTTGTGTTAGAATTTCAGCCCAAACTGGGTTTGTAACTGTGAGATCTCAGAACTAAAACTCCTTATCCAACAATTCAAAATATTATTTGGAGGATTATTACGTCTAGATTTAATCAGTACCACACACTAACTTTATATTAAAAAGCTGTGCATCCATCGCAAATTTAATATCCAAAACAAACTTTATTTCAAAACATAGTTTTAAGTGGGAAATGATGGTGCATACCTTTAACCCCAGCACTTGGGAGGTAGAGGCTGGAGAATCAGGAGTTTTCAAAGCCCATCTTGTCTACACAGAGATTTTTAAGGCTAGTCTGGACTACGTGAAACCCTGTCTCAAAAATAAATAAATAATAAGACAGGTTCCTGTTTTAAGAATTGTGTTAGAACTGGTAGAAAAGGGTCGTTATAATATTTCCTTAGAAAATAGAAAAACTGCAGCATCAGAAACGCTCACATTTGAAATCAGTCACAGATGGGTTTATATAAAACATTTAGCAGCAAATTTCATATACTGTCTGTCTGTTTTATTATGCGACAAGTACAATTTATTCATTAGCACAGTTATTACCCTCTACTTTGGCATTTTAAAAAAGATCTTCCCAGTGTCATGACAGGCTGCTTTCCACCCTCTCTCCTTGGACAGCAATGAATTTGTGGGGTGGGAAGTGGTATCATAGCAGGAAGAGATTAGTGGTAGCAGCCCTGGAGGCAGGTAGCAGGCAGGGATGGTCAGGTCAACAATGGGGAGGGGCCAGATGGGGCCAAGAAATGTGAATCACAAGCTAACTTCTCTCTCTGAGAGAACTTGGTGAGGTTAGTTTCCCAAGTCCGTGGATATTTCTTGCATGTGTTATCTTGAATGTATTCAATTAGCAACATCAGGAGAGCCAGCAGAAATAGGGAATGGTGGAGCCTGGCCAGTTGTAGACAACCCATGGGACTCTAACCTTAGTTTTTCACCTCTGTCATCCTTATCACTGCTCATTGTAGTCCCTGTCTTGATCTTGTTACAGCTGAGTAAAAGAGTCTTGGGGTACAAATATTTACGTCCTCCTAGGGTAACATATATGGCTACCATACAGAAGTTGCCACAACACTTTCCTGGGCACCTGGTCCTTCCTTTTGCTCCTTGCTTGCATTGTCCATCTAGTTGTGAGACATCTGCCCATCTCACCTGACATGCTGGGCCACAGTCTTGCTGGAGAGGATTTTTCCAGCTTCCAGCACACACTGAGCATCTTCTCTGGGTTCATGAGGAACAAGGTCAATTATCTGTCATGGTCCCAGAGCTATGATTTTTACCTGGCTCAACTTTTCCCACAGTCCGTAGTCTTTGATGGCCGCCCTCTAGTCCCTGGTGGGCTCTCCTGACCTTTCATGCACCTGGGCTGCCCTGCCAGCTCTGTTCTTCTCCCACTCCTCACCCTTTCGCTTGCACGCTTTCTAGCTGCTGATTCCCCCAGCACCTCTGCTCCACTCTCAGAATTTCCTTTTCTTCTTCCTTCTTATCCGGACTTCAGAATGCTTAGTCCTCTCTGATAACTGCAGTAGAGCCATTAATATTTTATAAATTGAGAGAACATCCAGGCTAGTCATTATAGCATGTAGGGAATGTATTATTCTTAGGGCTTAATTATAACTGATTAAATCAATTTAGCTAATATTTTCATCAGGTTTTACTTTTTTTTAAAAAAAAAAAAAGGCACAATCTTGTAATATTTTACCCAAATAGTCTAGATCTTGTAATGTTTTACCCCAAACTGTGAGCCTCATGGAATATTTTCAGAGTGTTTTAAGGAAATCCATTTGTTTTGTTATATTACTTTGCATCTCACTACTTATGGCTGTGATAATTGCACACTGTCCCCAGCCAGTGATGGTCTGAGGCCATCGTGACTTTTTATATAAGTATCACTGAAGGGAGACAAGGACTGTGAATCATTCACTTCGGTGCAAATGATTTGTTGTCAAATTTACAAGGAAAAAAAAAAACAATCAAACTCAAATAATTGTTTGCCATAATAAAAGCATAAATGTTTAAGGAATATATCTAGTATATAAAAAGTTTCAGTCTAATTTGTTTGCTTAAAGAATCTGCTGGCTACCAGGTAAATAGAATATGCATGTTTATTTCTATTTTATTATTGTTTAAAAGCAAGGTATCATTTTTAAGTGAGAGTAGTTTAAATCTTCCAAAACACAATGACCTGAAAACTTTATGCAAACATTTATTACATAAATTATATTAAAATCCTGCTGTAAAGCAAAAAGAAAAGCATGCTCAATTGCAGGAATAATAAATGTCAGTATTATTAAAATAATACATTATGCATGAAGGAGGAAGAAAGAAATCCAGGAAAAAAAGGGGGACCCTGGGGAAAGATCCAAGTAATTAAAAGGAAAGACCCAGAGTTCTAAGTCCAGGTAAAACTGAAATCATGTCAAATATGACAGCAATGCGATGTGTGTTTGGGAAAGGAGTGGGTTCCTGTGCTGCAAACCCTCGCTAACACTGTGACTGAGGCACACTGGTGATGATGCAAGGAAAGGTCTCTCTTTGGGAGCCGGTGCAGGTGAGCATGCGGCTATACTGCCACCCTTGCTGCATGTCGATGTCAGCAGCTTATTCTGCTTATTTGTTTGTTGTTCCAAATGACTAAAAAAGAAAATCTGGGGACTGGGCATGCACTTCAGCTGCATCCCAGTCACTGAATCATCACTGAAGAAGATTGTTACTTACCCCAAGAATTAAAGATTGTTTTAACATCAAAATGCTATAAATGAACATAATATTAAAATACTATTTTCCCTCAAAAAAGAAAAGAAAATCAGCTTTCCATTTGATTTTTTAAAATACTTTTCAGTTTCTGTACTAGTGTGCTCCCACAACAAAGTACACAGACTGATAGTCCTAAACAATAGTGTGTATTTGTTCACAGAGCTAGGGGCTGGCAGGTCCATGGTCAAGGTATAGGCAGGTTTTAAGCACTGCCCTCATGGGACCTTCCTTCTTTCCTGATGTCTCTTATATGGACAGCACTCACATTGGATGTCCTGCTGTAATGACTTCCGTTAGACTGAATTACTTCTGAGAGGCCCTTTCCCTCACCATGGGTATATTAGGCATCAGAACATTGACACAGGAATTATGAGGGGGGCACAGATGAGTCTATATCAAGCAATGATAGGACCTCACTAAAAATTATAATCGACACATAGTTGTTTTGGGAAATAGGCAGGGTAATAAGAAGACAGAATTTGAGGGATGAAACATATTTTGGATTTGCAACCAAACTCCTGCAGCCAGCTGCAGAAATACTGTGCATGAATGTAATGCCTGCATGCTAGACGCTGTCAGCTTTACATCCCTCTCTTCAATTAGTTTGTCCGTAAACAAACTTTCTCGTTGGGACCATCCAGCTCACAAATAATGACACAAAGACTTATTATTAATTATGAAAGCTCAGCCTATAGCTTAGGCTTGTCCCACTAGTTCTTATAACTTAAATTATCCCCTTTCTTTTAATCTATGTTTTTTTACATGGCTCAGTTACCCTTTATTCTGTACTGCCTATCCTGCTTCCTCTCCGTCTGGCTGGCGACCTGTCTTTCTTCTTCCCAGAGTGCTCTTTGTCCAGAAGACCTGCCTATACCTCCTGCTGTTTAGCTTTTATGAAACCAATCATCACAGTGACACATCTTCACACAGTATAAAGGAATATTCTACAACAGTTTGTCCTTAGGTGTCTCTGATAAATGTATATAAATCTTCACACAATTTTTAACACATACGTATATTCTACATTCTAAAACGACCAAATTATACAGCACTAAAAATATCTAAAGATAATAAAACTTTGAAAATACGATAGTAGTTTTTAATTCATAATTTCCTTTCTATTATAGTGTAAGGGTGTGAATTTATTGCAGAATAAGTATTTAATGCTGTCTTTCCCTGGGGCATGTGATGAGCTGACAGTAAAATATGGCGTCTATTTTTAGTTGTCAAATTCATTTATTTCCAGATGCAGGTTTAGGGTGAGGGAATTACACTAACTCAGCCATGCTATGAGACTCTCAATCATTTCTGCCTTACCAAGCCATAGTGCTGTGTTGGTAGTTTAATTTGATCCATGATATAGATTAAAAATAAAACTTTGCTAAGTCATTAATTTTGTGAAAACTTCTTACAGGGACTGGTTAAAATACTAATGTTTCCATAGTTACAAATGAATTAAAGTCCATGATTATGATATTCCTGTGTGACGTCATGTAGTGACTGTATTATAAAGTTTCCCCTTCACATTTTAAAATAAGATTAAGCTTTTTTTTTTCTTTCAGAGAACTTATCAATAAGGAGAATATTCCCTATGGCTTCAGCAAACTATGATGAGTGTATTTTGAACGTCCAGGAAGCAGAAAGAGTCCCGGATGATGCTTGTGATTATGTAGAAGAAAGAAGTAAACCCAAGCGTCAGAAATCCAGTTCCAGGCTTACAGAGCTCAGTGAAAATCATGATGGGCTCCTGGTAAGTAGGTATTTTAGTAACTTCTTTACTTTATCTAGTAAAGAAATATCTCTCTTCCTTAATTTAAAAAAATGAAATTTCACAAAATTATAGGCGTTCTAAGAAAGACTTCCAACCCAGAAAGTACATGCATTCATGTTTCTCTTTAGTAAATGTAGTGATTAAGGCAGAGAAATACGACTTTCTGCCCAAAGAGCAAGAGACAAATCTTTGGTGTTGTTTAAATTGGCTTTTAATCTAACTTTTAAGCATTTTTACATTTTTGTAAATCAAAATGTTCATAAAACACATTTCCTTATTTTCCCTCATCTTGTTTATTCTTGTCCATATGAACCACTTGAAATGGATAAACACAAAGGAAGATTAGAGAGGCAACCATGGTATGCTCAAAAACATTTTCCTGCTTGATGTCAAACTTAAACCCTTATAATACTTCACTCCTGGTTAATCAAAAGCAAAAAAGAATTAATGGTCAACACAGTTACCTCATACCAGAACTTTGAGGCATTAATTTGATATGTAAGTTTTTGTAGTTCTTTCAGTCAGTAGCAATATCTATATGACTATTTGATATTCATCCTTCTTTTTATTTATGCTGCAGTTTCTCTGAAAAATGAAACCCCAAATCTGCCTTGTGATTTCTTTTTTGCTATTTTTTTTCTTTTAGTAAGGCAAAATTAACAACAACGACCCTATAGATAAACGGATAACAGAACTAAGAGTCCCCAGTAGAGTGGGAAATGGAGTGTCTTTCTGGTGTAGATTCACTAGTCTCCTTTGTCATTTAGCTTTTTTATTGCTTCATGCTAGGGTGACTATACATTTATTAAAATTACAGATTGTCCTGTTTTCCCATTGTCAATTTCTGTATGTGCTTAGAAAACATTCTACGTTTTCCCCTGAGTAAAGCATGTATAATACAAATTATAAATATGTTTAATAGCATTCTCAAGATGAAGAATCACTACACATTTTTATATTAACATCAGTGAGAGTAAGTTTTCTTCCTCCTTTGTTAAAATGCGTGGTGTGTGTGTGTGTGTGTGTGTGTGTGTGTGTGTGTGTGTGTGTGTGTGTAGAGACAGACAGACAGACAGACAGACAGAGACAAAGATAGATAAACAGATAGACAAGGAATTTAACCCAATCCTCACATGTGTTGAGCCCATGTATCACATCTCTAGCCCCTGAAGAGTAAATAATTAAGTAAAGTAACCCCATTAACTCTTTATTTGACTCATGATTTGCTTATCTGCCAAAGAGATTTATAGTGATTAAAAGTCTGAAGCCTGGCTTTACAGCTTGGAAAGAATATGCTTCTTAGTTTGAGACTTTTAAAAAAAAAAAAAAAAACAAAAACAAAAACAGGAGTTTAACCCATCAACTTTCCCACAGGGAATCGTGTTGTAAAGCTGCTAGATGGTAACTGTGAAGAGAAGTGGAAAGAAACGTTCATTTCCTTTTTCCATTTATCTGTCAATCTATTTATTTGTGTGTGTGTGTGTGTGTGTGTGTGTGTGTGTGTGTGTGTGTGTGTGTGTGTGTATGTGTGTGCGCGCGTGCGCGCGTACATGTGTGGGATAATATAAGATCTTTTTTCAGTTATTTTTATTTCTTTATTATTCTTTCATTTCTTTTTCATTTCCAAAATATGTTTCATCCCTCAAATTCTGTCTTCTTATTACCCTGCCTATTTTCCAAAACCACTATGTGTCGATTATAATTTTTAGTGAGGTCCTATTACATGCCAAATGCAGTTTCCCCCCCTCCCCTCCCCCAAGTCCCCTCTACCTCCTCTCTCCCCCAAAACCGCCCCCCTCCACCTCCTCTCAGAAAAGGGCAGGCCTCCCATGGACATCAACCAACCACAGCATAACAAGCTACAATAAGACCAGGCACATACCATCACATCAAGGCTGGACAAGGCAACCCAGTAGGAGGGAAAAGGGTCCCACAAGCGGGCAAAAGAGTCAGAGACAGCCCCTGCTCCCACTGTTAGGAATCCCACAAGAACATTAAGCTGCTCAGCCATCGCATATACGCAGAGGAACTAGGTCAGACCTTTACAAGCTCCCCGGTCTCTGCAAGCCCCCATGAATCCTAGTTAGTTGATTATGTGGGCCATGTTCTTGTAGTGTCCCTGACCTCTCTGGTTCCTCTGGATCCTTCCTCCTCCCGCTGCAGGACACCTGAGATCCACCTAATGTTTGGCTGTGGAACTCTGAGGAACATTCACTTCTTAAGATACATGTCTGAACTTTGAAAAGATTTCAGTGGGAGATTCCTTGTTCCAATTGGCTTTTGGTGTGTGAAAGAATTTGCCCCTCCCCAGTCACCAGCTTCTACATTCAAGCTCTGTGCATATCACATTTACACAAATGAGATCAGTGGACGTCTTTGCAATTAATAATTTAAATCCTGCCAGCAAAGTTGGCAGGTAAACTTACTCCTCTACAAAGTGATGCTATTCTCAAAGCCTTTTGCCTGTTTTTCCATTCTGTGAACTTTAAAGTTTTATTTTTATTATTTTTAACTATGTGTAGATGTGTGTTTCTGAGTGTGGATATGAGTTCAGGTGCCTATGGAAGCCAGAGGCATCGGATCATCTGCAGAAAGGGTTTCTGACAGTTGTGAGCTGCCTGATGTGGCTGCTAAGATTTGAACCCAGGTCCTCTGAGGGAAGAGCAACAAATGCTCTTAACTACTGAGCTATCTCTTCAGCCCCAAAATTTATTTGATTTTTTTTTTAAATTGTCTCACTGTGTAGCTCTCTGGCTGGCCTGGAGCCCATCCTGTAAACCAGACTGGCCTGGAACTCACAGAGGTCCACCTGCTTCTGCCTCCCAAGTGTTTCCATGAATTTAAAAATCCAGCATTCCTAGGTAAACACATGCAAAGATGAGAGAACACAACAGTGAGTAGTGTTTCTCACACTTCTGTGTGAGTTAACTTCACTTTCTCCAACTTCAAAAACTTTCCCCATCCCAACTCAAGGTTTTTACACTTGGGGGAAATATTTGTTTTTATACAAAGTCTAAATGAAGAAGAAAAGGAAATAACTAGACCCATTCTGTATGTCAGAAAATAGTCTAGAAATTTGGGATACAGAAATAAGAAAAATGGAAAAATTTCTACCTTTGTGAAGCTTAAAATCTATGGGGGGAAAATCAAAATAAGTAAAGCAGTAAGCGTGAAACCATGATGATCCCTAGGAAGAAAGCGGAGGGGATGGTAAGAGGAATCTTAGAGGACAGGGTGTGCAATTATAGTACCAGCTGGACAAAGATCCCCCATCAGCGTGTTTTAAAACAAAGTTCCGACATGGATCTTGAGAAATGAACACTCCTTTCCACTCCTCTCCACGGTCACCACCTGACACACTCAACTCACTGTTCCCAGTGAGAAAGCTGATGGGTTAGACTCGTTTTTTTAAAAAGGGATTCGGACTAAAAAGTATGTTCTTTCCAAGCTATAAAGCCAGTGTCAGGCTTTTAATCACCATAAATCTCTTTGGCAGTGATGAGAAAAGACCTCCCTGGGAATTTGACTTTGCTTATAAAACCCAAAGGTAATGGAACAGGCCATCTAAGTAAAACTACAGGTGCGAAGACCCTCAGCAGATCATTTATCTGCAAAGTCCAAGGAATTGTGGAGGGCAGATTGAAAGGCTCTGGGGATGGGAGAGCAGATTAACTGGGTTCTCAAACATCATTAGGAGGATTGACTTACTATGGGTAAGATGAGAAGCCAGTCAAGTGTTCTTTGATCAGAGAATGCGGATAACTTAATTTTGATGTTACTGCTGAATTGAACATGGACACACGTGATAAAGGGCAGAAGCCGGAACAGCAGTGAAATGCTCTGGCCATAATCCTGGTCTGCGATAACAGCTTGACTTAAGATGATACCAGAGGCAGCACACTGGCCCTGCAGGAGGTTGGTGCTGCCAATTTATGAGGAGAAGACAGAAGTTTGGGGAATGATGCCCTAGGTTGCCTTCGGGGCATGTTAAGATGGAGTGCCCTGTTAGATATGGAAGAGGAGCTATCAGAGCGGCAATCGGATTTCTGGGCCTGAAGTTCAGGCAGTGTGCCTGGGCTAGAGACATGTGTGATGGCCATCAGACAGAGATATACTCAAAGACAGTACACTGGAGGTGATAACCAAGGCGGGAGTATGGATGGAAAAGTGGCCCAGATAATGAACACTGAGGCACACCAACATTTAGAAAATGGGAAAATAAGCACACAAAAGAGACTTAACAAGCAGCCAGGAAACAGGGGGGAAATGAGGCCAGCTGGATGTCTTAGCAAACAGGTCACTGAGTGTCTTAAGGAGAAGGGGTCAGAGGTGAGGCCAGGAGTGGACTGAGTCTGACCATTTGAATTCACAAAGTGAAGCTCACTGTTGATCTTAGGAAGAGAATACTGATACAGGAGCAGAAGCCATTCCCAAGAGAAAGGGGGAGGAGAGTGATGGCAGGTATAGAGGCTTAGCGGACCCAGACCAGCCAAAGAGAGAACCATGTGCAGAATTCCCCAGGCCCCCCACAACCTCACAGGCTTGGTGTCCATACAGCAGGACTCCCATCGTCTTTTTCTTTGGCTTCTCTGGGATGTGAAGACACAGAGATCATTGGGGTCTAGGGAACAGGTCGCTCAGGAAGAAAGCAGAGGCAATGAGCTGCCAGTCAGCGTTAGGTTGCTGTGTGTCAGCTCCATGTCATCTCTAGTGACCATTCCCTCCCTCCTTGGCTGTAGCTCCGTCTATACCCTCAGTTTCAGGAGAAAAGCTAACCCCTGCCTTATCTAAAAAGCCAAGATAGTGGGCTGTGTTTTAACTATTCCCCTTACTCTAAAAGAAATCCTAAGTCTCGGGCCATTTAATATTTTTACCTGACTCAATGACAAGTGATTTTTTTTGCTTGTTTTCTAATTCTGAGGCTAGCCTATAAGGCAAAACAAAACAAAACAAAAACCTCCTTTGGAAAATTTATTTAC